TACTCTCTCCTTATCTCTCTCCTCTCTTTTCTCTTCTCTTCGTGCTGCTCTGCAGCCTCCCTCCTCCCACCAATAAAGACCTTTCATACAAGCCTCAGTGGTCTGTGAGATCTCTGTTGGTCGAAGTGCCTCTCTTTCATGACAAACTAGGGAACGGTGGGAGAACGGGAAGGGAATTTACAGTTTTTGGCTGCCATGTGGCTATTTCACCAGGATATGAGTTTTATATTACTTTTGTTAATTTTATAATATTAAACTTTAATAATAACAAATCATTGTTGAGAACTGATCATTGAGAACTGCTTATCAAAGTTCGCATTGTTGATCAGTTGTTAGAATTCGACCACCATTGTTTGGACTTAATGAACAATGGCATTTTTTGGCATTGGTAAGGAGGAAAACATTTTGTAACTGTCTCTCAGACGATACACATCGTACTGCGTGCTAGTGCTAGTTAAGCAAGTGATGTCAACAAATCAGCTATTCAGATAATTTAAGCAAGTAATTTATTTCATGAATTTAGCAGACAGTACTCATATCATTTATATTTTATAGTGGCGGAAAAAAGTCTAGCACTGGCCTTGAAAGTGACACTTATGACTTACGAGGTATCATTTTTTTTTTTTTTTGAGACAGAGCCTCAAGCTATCCCCCTGGGTAGAGTGCCATGGCATCACGCTCACAGCAACCTCCAACTCCTGGGCTCAAGCGAGTCTCCTGCCTCAGCCTCCCAAGCAGCTGGGACCACAGGTGCCTGCCACAACACCTGGCCATTTTTTGGTTGCAGCCATTATTGTTGTTTGGCGGGCCCAGGCTGGGGATTCAAACCGGCCACCTTAGGTGTATGTGGCTGGCACCTTAGCCACTTGAGTCACAGGCGCCGAGCCAATTTAACAAATTCTTGTGAAAAATTTCATGACCTTTTAAACGACAGCAATCTACTAAAAAAATTTCACTCAAATGAGAAACGTGCCAAAGAATAAAATAATACTATACATAATTTTTAAATGTATTATATTTGTAAATTGTACTTATGTTGAAATTTAAAAAAAATTACAATACTATTTTTGCATTCTATGAAAATTTTTGTTGCTCAATATAGACCAAAAATTTTTAATTAAGACACCACCACCACCACCCACCCCCGTCAATGGTGTCCCGCTTTACCAATGTTAAAATCTGGTCACCTTAGGTAAGGAGGGAGCTTTGGAAGGCGGACAGGGGTCTCTTCACCCTGAGTTCTACAGAAAACTCTAGCAGAAGACTAGAAATACCCCATACAGGCAGAAGTGCTAATGGCACTGACCTAACAGGAATGAAGGTTTAAATCACCCAACTAGGCAAAGAGCCATGGCCAGCTGAAGTGCTTGCTGAAGACAAAGGGAACTAGAATAACAGGACAGGTGTAAGGACTACAGTATGACAGGCGCTTCTCATCTCATCTAGGGTACGACTTTTGTGCTTAATTTGTTTTCTTCCCTTTTCCCTCTCCAATTCCTCTAACACAAAGTGTGTTAATAACGGCTGACCTTACATCACAGCGTTCATGTCATCTGACTCTTTCTCTCTGGGAGTGTCTACCTGCTCAGGGAGAACACATAGCTGGAAGAATGAGGACCACCCATGTGGATAAAATGATGTGAAACTCATTCAATTTCTTTTGGAGAGACAGCCTGGTTTTGGTTGGGATATTTTGGTTGCATCATTTTAAGCAGAAGCATGATTTTGCTTTTGCTTTTATTTGTAAGCTAAATATGGTTTGATTTTTTTTTTTTTGAGTCTTACTCTGTGCCCTGGGTAGAGTGTTATAGTGTTATAGTTCATAGCAACCTCATCCTGCTCACCCTGAGACTACAGGGACCCACCACATACCCAGCTAGAGATGTGGTCTTGCTCTTGCTTAGGCTGGTCTCGAACTCCTGAGCCCAACCAATCCACTTGTCTTGGCCTCCCAGAGAGCTAGGATTACATGCATGGGCCACCCCAGCCAGCCTAGCTAAATATGGTTTGAAAAAGAAGTGCAAGCTGAGTTGTCAAGAGGTGCACTGCTGGGTTGTTCTAACGTCCAGTTGGTAAAGCTGGGGACCCACCTCCCAGAATCACTTTCCCTATGTGGTTTGGGGTTGGATGTCACTCTCTGAAGGGTGGTAAGTAGGTGTGAAAGGTTAGATGAACTCAGATGCTACCTAACAATGTAACCAAATAGTATGTACCCTTATATTAATCTTAAATTAAAAAAAAAAAAACTTCAAGTAAAAAATGACAGGTTAGGCTTGGCACCTGTGGCTCAAGTGGTTAAGGCGCCAGCCACGTACACCCAAGGTGGCGGGTTCGAATCCAGCCCAGGCCCACCAAACAACAGTGACGGCTGCAACCAAAAAATAGCTGGGCGTTGTGGCAGGCACCTGTGGTCCCAGCTACTTGGGAGGCTGAGGCAGGAGACTCACTTGAGCCCAGAAGTTGGAGGTTGCTGTGAGCTGTG